CAAAATTTGCCCTGAATAATACAAAATAAACATAATTGAAAGTTACAATCAAGGAATCTTAACTTTTAGAAAATATTGTGATAAACTGATTCTTCAATTTTATTTTGATCTCATAATATATGAGGAGTTATTCATTATAATTAAAAAATCTGAACAGTAGCTCGCATTATATTTTAAGTAAAACCTATCTCTTCAAATGGATAAGCGTGAGCCAGAATACATCTTTCAATATACTTTTTAGGTAAATAAGACCTCGTTTTCCTTTTTGAGAGCAAAGAAGCTTAACATTTTAATGTAAGTTTAAGACTGGTGACTTAGCAATATTCAAAGGAGAAAGTCATCGTTCTGTCTTAGGAAATATAGCAGTTGTCCACGTAAATGTGGGGCAGATTCGGAAAAGGAAGAGATTTCTTAGCATCTGCATTACAACCAGACAGGAGATCATGTAATCAAATGAGAATAATCAAAACTCAGAAAATTTCATGCAGATTATGTTACATCACTAACTATATACATTGCTAACTGTATATGTATCATTAGGTGTGGTTCATAATCATTCAGCAATCTCCCCTGAATGCCTGGTATACTTTCATAGAATTGGCACATAAAAGCAAGGACTCATCCTCATCTAGGTCATGTTTATGAGATTTTTTTTCCCCTTCTATCTTTAGCCCACAATGCATATTTCTTAGTTTTCATGTCATTACAAGTTATGAAGTTCCCTTTGCAAAGGCTTGATATACACACATTTTAGTACAGGCTTACCAGGAAAATCTGCTACTACTCTTGCAGCCATCATGCTATTTTGGTATTTGCACATCTGTTGGTTTTATTATGCTTAACTCTATTTGGTTACTCTTGGTCCTCTTTCTGTATAGTTTATCCTTTCTCAAGATTCCCTTTATGACAAAAATTCAGACACAGGCAACAGCATGATGGCTACCACAGGGAAGGGGAGAGGGCACAGTAAAAGGTAAAGGGGGTCAAATACACGGTGATGAAAGAAGATTTGACTGAAGGTGGTGGGCACACGATGTAATATGCAAATGATGTATCAGAATTGTACATGTTAAACCTATATAATCTTATTAACCAATGTCACCCCAATAAATTTAATTTAAAAACTCTTAAAAAAAGAATCCTTTTGTTTCTGGTTATTGGCCCTCCAAGGAAAAGGGCCTTATATATAGTCACTCCACAATAAGCTGGGTTGCACACATGCTGAATGACTAGGTCTTAGATCTGAAGCGGGGTATGCAAAACACTCTTAAGCTGTAAGGAGAGATTTCAGTTTATGTGTAGTCATAAATTACATCATTTTATTTTATGCAGTGCAGTTTATAATGTAGCTAATATGTTCTTTTATATTAATGTATACACCTTCTAAATAGGGTACTAATGGACTCAGCACTTGGCAGGGTAATCTATCTTGTCACCTCTCGGTCGGGTCTGGCCACCCGGTTCCAGTGGCCATCCTGTTTATCTGCCACATGCTGACTGACCTGCTCAGTGCAATAACCTGCTCTGGATTCACACTGCTCACTCCATCTTTCCAGCCTATCTTTTAATTAACCGGTTCTTACTGCTCTTTGCTGTGGTATGTGGCTCTCTACATTGGTAAAGTCATCTTAATGAAAACGTCCATGTTGAGTACTGTTCTAAGAATTATTTTCTTGAAGATTACAAAAAATAATTTTTATCCATGATGTTTTCCTATTTTTAAAATCCTCCACAAGCCTCCCTCTCCTCCTAACCTTTCTTAAACAGAGATTGTAAAACCATTTATAAATAATGAGGAAACAGAAATTATACTTACACAGCAAGAGAAAAAAATCAAAATCATTTATGGTAAAAGATATATTCTAACAAATGCGACTTTAGAAAATGAAACCATACTTTAAAAAACATACATCAAGGGAGCTTGCTCTTTAAAGTTATTTTCATATAAATGTTTTTATAAAACAAAGAATCATTTTCAAATAAATGCACATTCTTTTGCAGTATTTTATTACTCAAGGTTTGCTTGAATTGAGATATATCTTCACTAGGTAGTTTTCTAACCATGTCATTCATTTTAACAGGACATAAAAATATTTAGTGCCTAAGTATATTTATATATAGTCCAAAAATTTTACACAGAATTTCATCAGAATGCCAGTGCTCAATCTAGCATTATGCTATGACTTTGAGACAGCGTATCTGTGACCTAAAGCCACATAGCCTTTCGGATCTATAGTAGTAATGTCCTAACAGGTCTCCTGGTAACCGGTCCTCCTGTCCTTCCTCCCTTCCACTGCCCTTCCCTCCCCTCCCCTCCCCACCCTTCTCCTCTTTTACCTTCCTTTCCTTCACCTTTCTTCATACTGTTTTTACTGATAGCTTCTAAGATGCACATGCATTTGATTTCCCTATTTAAATCAATCAATGTCTGTCTCTTAATCCCTATAGAAAAACCTTGAAGTATCACCTAACTACCTTCACAACCTGGCCCCTCCACTTCTCTTCACCCCCATCCCAAATTGTTCACATTTTCATCACTGTGACCATTCACTCTGCCAAATTTCCATACCTATTTATCTTTCTGTTTCCTGTACTCAGACCTTTCCCCCAACTCTCTGCCTAATGGAATCTCTTAATACTGTTTCAAATTTTATCTTTTTTGTGAAGACTTCTTCAGACCTGCGCACTTTTGGTACTTCCATATTTCTTTTTCAGACTGCTGGGGCAACACTTAACTCAAGGAAGCACTGTTTATCCTGACACAGGGTAAGCCTCTGAAGGGAAGAGCTCTGTCATTTTAAGAAGGGAATGTCCATGTTTGTTATAAATTCAAGTAACTGGTGTATGATGGTTTGTACCCTAGGGTCCTCTGAGCATTTAGGTATTTCTGATTTTTTAAAAAAATGTGCTTGATGACACTATTTACTATTTAATTGATACCTGTTAAATTCAGAGACATTTCTTAATTGAGACATAATGTATAGCTTTTAAGAGATACTTTTTGGAGAGTTAATGTACTGGTTACTTAATTTTATGTTTAATTCTGCAGTCAAATTTACATTAAAATAGCACTGTTCTAGGCCTCTCAGTCTCTATAATCATGTAAGACAGAGAATATCTGGAATGTATATGTCAGAACTGACCCAACCAAACATATGTATACTTTAAAATTTTGATTACTCTGTCAATTTTATTAGTTCCTTAAATTTACTTTAAGCTTCCCTTTTTAAAAAGCAGTTGAAGGATTATTTAACAAAGGATTTCAAGTACATCTATATAAGCATAGAAAGAGCCTAGTGGTTATTTCCTATTAATTATTTCCTATCTTCATTTTTTGTAGATAGTATTTGTTGCAATTTTTATAAACATATGCTTTATAATACTTGTATAACTTTAAACATTATTCTCCAAGGTTGTAAATAACATGCATAAGAAGAAAATCTTAGCTGCATTGTTTTATAACTTGAAAAGTTGCTTCAAGTTATAGTTATAAAAATAAAAGAGAAGAAAATAAAATTCTTAAGGAAAATAATTTTGACCTTTCCAATTACAAAATGGATTTAAAATACTGTTCATTTCTAAAATATACAATCTATTTTTAGACTTGATAGACTTATTTTATGAAGCTTTTTGGTCAAAGTAAAAGATCAATAGACACTATTACCTTATACATTAGACTCTGAGAGATTGACTTATTTTCATTGAAACCGTATTTCTTTGTTAGAGAAATTAATGAAAATATCATTGATTAATTAATATGGAACATTTCTGCAAAGCAAACATAGTAAGGGCATAACCTGTTTCATTCATAATATTAAACATGTACCTAATATAAAGTAATTTTTTACAGTGAAGTTTCAAAATATTCTCATAGAAATAAAATAATAGGGAACTAAATAATGGATTTGCCTCTTGTGAAGTAATGTGTAAGGCTAGAAAAAGAGAAGAGGATAAAATATCTAGAATAATTTTGCTGACTTATTTTTCATTGAATTTGACTATCAAATGAGCCAATGGTAAGAGGTTTGTTTAAAAATAACAGAATATAGTATAGTTTTATAAGTTATTAGCTTTAAGATAACAGAAGAGAGACTTTGAGACTGAACTCCTTAAAACAATCACCAAAATGATCAGTGGGATGACATAGTTTTAGGGCATTAGGAAATGCCTAAATGATATATTCTCGACTTATGTAGAGATCATATAACTTACATGTTAATTTGGTTCTAAAGTTTTAGCCTTTTATTCTGGCTCACATTTTCCCCAAGTATCATTCTAATAAAGGTTTAGAGTGTACTTATATGTCTTCAGAGGAACTTATACACATTGCTCATTTTTAAGTATGATCAGATTATTCCATAACATTTGCTGTGAGGAAAACAGATGTCATTTCATAACCACTGGCTCTTCACTGCCACTGACTTAATTGATGGCACTGTTCTTCAATGCACGGAATGCCATTTAAAGGAGATAATTACTGGATTACCAAAAATAGCTCAGGCAAAACAGATTTGTGTGAAGGCATGGACGTTATGATTATATTAAAATAGCCCTGGCTGGTGTTGCTCGGTGGACTGAGTGCTGGCCTGCAAATCAGAAGGCTGCTGGTTTGATTCCTGGGCAGGGCACAGGCCTGGGCTGTGGGCCGGGTCCCCAGTGGGGGCCACGAGAGGCAACCACACATTGATGTTTCTCTTTCTCTCTTCCTCCCTCTTTTTACTTCTCTAGAAATAATTAAATAAAAATCTTAAGAAAACCCTGATTATGTTAAAACAAAGTTCCATTATAATGGAAGAAATAAGACAGTTAAATATAAGAAGGTTTTGTTTTAATCAGGCATTCAGATAAAATAAATATTTTTCAATTAAATAACGATGTTAAAGTGGGAAAATGACAAACGAGAGCAGAAAATTAGAAAAACAAAACAGAATTACTCTAGTGATATCAAAACAACAAAAGCAAACAAACATACTATATTGGAAAGGAACAGGTAAACTTACAGTTGTTGTATAAGCAGCTTCTGGATCATCTTCCAGCACCCGGGACAGACCAAAATCAGAAACTTTGCATACTAAGTTGCTGTTGACCAATATATTCCTGGCTGCTAGATCCCGATGAACATAACCCATATCAGAAAGATACTTCATTCCTGATGCAATGCCTCGAAGCATACCGACCAACTGGATGACTGTAAAGTGGCCGTCGTGTTTCTGGAAGAGAATTCAAATTATATTGATTTATTTTAATTTAATGTGTGCATACATGCTCATGTGTGTGTGTGTGTGTTGTATTAAATAAAGTCTGTGAACCTATTTTACTGGATTCAGTGAATGTAAGCATCAAGTTTTCTGACCACTGACTATTTTCACAACAAAATGAAAGAACCTGTTTGACATTTAAAGGAAAGAAAACTCTAGCTGGAAGTGAGGAAGGATAACAAGTAAGGGATAGAAGGGAACCAACTAATTAACTTCCAGAAAAAAACATCTGCAAAAACTTTAAGAAGAGGGAAGTAAAATCAAATAAGGTAATAGCAAAGCTTATGAAGAAAACAGAATTCACTTTCCACAGTTGTGAGCGCTGAACCAGCCACACAGGTGGGCAGAAGGCCTGTAAAACCTAGGACTGGATGAAAGATGTGTGATAACTGGAAATATGGTAAAAACACGTCATTAAGGAAAAAGAAAAAATGGTTGTATAAACAAGATACAGGCTTAGGAAAGCTGCAAGAGAAAAAAAAAACACGCAAATAGGAAATAACTACATTTTCTCATTCTTTCATTATATATGGAGAGCAAATAGGAAGTTGTTGGCAAGTGACTGAAAACAGGTCTATTTTAGCTCCCAGTTGGAAAAGTTGAAATATGACCAACAGGCTGGGTGCAGCATGGGTATGTAGCAGTCGATCCCTTGAATATTTATTCCTCCAACCTTGATTTAAAAATAATAAATAATTTTTTAAAAACGTAAATGCATCCAATTGTCATCCATACAAGATGTGTACACAAATAAGACCAGATTCAAATATTACCCTAGAAATTAGAGAAAATGAAAATAAAAGAGTTTTAAGATTGAAAAATAATACAAATTGTTCTACTTAGTTATTTGGATATTGTTGTCTTTAATGAAGATACAGAGAAACAAGAAAGATTCTCAAGTTGGTTTATACATCAGGTAACATTTATTCATGAATGATATTAAAAATGAATATCTAGTAAGAGATTATAGGGCCATATTACCTTGTACAGTGTGGTAGATGCATACATAAGTATCTTAAATTCTGCAAAGTTAAGCAGTTTTCATAGATATCTGACTTAAAGCTACAGAGCATCTTAGAGACGGCGATGATTTGACTATATCACAGTGTCACAGTATCCCATACAGTGATGATTCATTGGTCGGTCAAAGGAATAAGCTTATACCACAAATGAGATACACTTTGTTTTACAATATCAACTTATCTCCCTGATAGCTCTGTGATAACATCACCCAACTGAAGTGCAGAGTAAGGAAAAGAACCCTCTCTTAAAAGAAATATTCTATGGCGAGAGTATCCATTTAGGTAGGCTCTTCTGTATAATTAATGTATAAAAGATAACTTAGCGAAGAAAATCTTTGATGTTATTAGCTCTTAATGCTTCCAATCCATCTTCTCAGACAGCGTACTATTAGATGAAATCTGCCTCTTTTATCATGTGCCCTACCTACCTCTCCTCTATTAGGAATCTCAAAGACTTTGAGTAGAATTGAAATCATAAATTCTTTTGGCCAAGAAAGGATTACACTAAGTTTAAAGAGGTCATTCTTTTACCTATTAGAAAGTGAAGTTTCTTGGTGCCACAGTGTTGTCAATGCATTATTTCTACATAGTAGGAAATGTTAATAGACCATCTTAAAACTAAGAAATGCATCCTTACCTGTACTATGAGACTAGAATAAGTCAGAGTTGTAGTGAGAATCACATACAAAACAAACAGTGGCCACTGATTTATTTTAATAATTATTATTTAATAAAACTGTTGATATTATAATTTTATGTAGTTTTTAAAAATTTTAATGAGTCAGAAAATTCACTTTTCTAAAAAATCAATTGGCAACATAAACTCTATGTCATAAGAAGAAGTAGTTATTTAACAACAGGTTGAAATTTAATTTTCTATTTATTCTGAGGGTGGTACAAAGCCCCAAGTTATTTTTAAAAACAATTTTTAGAGCAGTTTTACAGTCACAACAAAATAAAGAGTAAGAGATTTTTTGCATATGTTCTGCTCGCACACATGCATAGCTTCCCCCATTATCAACATCTCTCACCACAGTGGTACATTTGTTACAATTGAGGAACATGCACTGATACCTCATCATCACCCAGAAGTTACAACAGGCTTCATTCTTTGTGTTGAATGTTGTATGAGTTTGGACAAATTTATAATGACATGTACCCACCATTAGAGTATCATGGAGAGTATTTTCACTGCCCTCTGTGAAATCTTCTGTGTTCCACTTATTTACCCTGGAAACTCCCAACCCTGGAAACCCTTGATCTTTTTACAGTTTCCATAGTTTTACCTTTTTAGAATGTTAATAGTTGGAATTATACAATATGTATGTAGCCTTTTCAGATTGCCTTCTTTCACTTAGTAATATGCATTTAAGGTTTTTCTCACATAAACAAAAGGAAAGACAAAAATCACAGGATCATATCAATAGAGGCAGAAAACACATTTGATAAAGTACAGCACCCATGTATCATAGAAACAGTCAGCAAAGTGGGAGTAGAGGGAGCATTCCTCAACATAATAAAGGCCACATATGAGAGACCTACAGCTAACATCATACTCAATGGGCAAAAAGTAAAAACTTTCCTCTAATGTCAGGAATAAGACAAGAATGTCCTCTTCCACAATTTCTATTCAACATAGCACTGGAAGTTCTAGCCAGAAAAAGAAATGAATGGCATCCAAATTGGAAAGGAGGGAGCAAAAACTCTCATTGTTTGCAGATGACATGATAGTGTACTTAGAAAACCCTATAGACTTCTACAAAAAAACTACTTGACCTAATAAGTGAATTTGGCAAAACAGTGGGATACGAAGTCAATATTCAGAAATCGAAGGCATTTTTGTACACCAACAATGCAATGTCAGAAACAGAAATTAGGAAAAATATCCCATTTGATATAACAACAAGAAAAATAAAGTACCTATGAATAAACCTAACCAAGGAGGTAAAAGACCTGTACTTAGAAAACTATACAATACTGAAGAAATTAAGGAAGACACAGAATAAATGGAAGCTTATACTGTGCTCATGGATTGGAAGAATTAGCATCATCAAAATATCCATACTACCCAAAGCAATTTATAGATTCAATACAATCCCTATTAAAATACTAATGATATTTCACAGATATTGAGCGGACATTTCAAAAATTTACATGGAACCATAAATAACCCAAATAGCAATAGCAATTCTGAGAAAGAACAACAAAGTATGAGGGATCACAATATCTGACATTAAAATATATTACAAGGCATTGTAATCAAAACAGTCTGGTACTGGTATAAGAACAGACACATAGATCAAGGAAAAGAATAGAGAGCCCAGAAATAAACCCATGTCTCTATGGTCAATTAATATTTGACAAAGGGGACAGGAGCATAAAATGGAGTAAAAATAGCCTCTTCAACAAATGGTGTTGGGAGATCTGGACAGCTACATGCAAAAAAAATGAAACTTGACCACCAACTTACACCATAAACCAAAATAAACTCAAGATGGATAAAAGACTTAAAGATAAGTCATGATTCCATAAAAGCCCTAGAGGAGAACATAGGCAAAAAAATCTCAGATATTCCACACAGCAATATTTCCACTGATATATCCCACAGAGTAAGGGACATAAAGGAAGGAATAAACAAATGGGACTTCATCAAAATAAAAAGCTTCTGCACAGCTAAAGAAAACATCAGCAAACTGAAAAGAGAACCAACTATATGGGAAAACATATTCGCCAGTGATGCCTCAGGCAAGGGTTTGATCTCCAAAATATACGAAGAACTCACATGACTCCACTCTAGAAAGATAAAGATCCCAATTAAAAAGTGGGCAAAGGACCTGAACAGATGCTTCTCCAAGGAGGACATGCAGGGGGCCCAGAGACATATGAAAGGATGCTCAGCATCACTAGCAAATTAAAACCACACTGAGACCTGGCCAGTTTGGCCAGTGGGTTGAGGCTTGGGAACCAAAAGCATTGCTGGTTCAATTCCCAATCAGGGCACATGCCTGGGTTGTAGGCCAGGTCTCCAGTTGGGGACCTGTGAGCAGCAACAACACATTGAGTTTTTTCTCCCTCTCTTCCTCCCTTCTCCTCTCTCTAAAAATGAATAAATAAAGTCTTAAAAAAACCTACATCCGAACATACTTCACACTGGTCAGAATGTCCATCATAAATAAATCAAGAAATAATAAGTGCTGGTGAGGTTGTGGGAAAAGGGAACCCTAATACACTGTTGGTGGGAATGCAGACTGGTGTAGCCACTGTGGAAAACAGTATGGAATTTCCTCAGAAAACTAAAAATGGAACTGTCTTTTGACCCAGCAATTCCACTGCTAAGATTATATCCTAAGAACCCTGAAATACCAATCCAAAAGAACCCATGCACCCCAATATTCATAGCATCACAACTTACAATAGCCAAATGCTGGAAACAGTCTAAGTGTCCATCAGTAAATGAGTGGATCAAAAAGCTGTGGTACATTCACACAATGGAATACTATGCAGCAGAAAGAAAGGAGTTCCTACCCTTCCCCACAGCACAGATGGAAATGGTGAGCATTATGCTAAGTGAAATAAGCCAGGCAGTGAACGACAAACACCATATGATCTCACCTTTAACTAGAACCTAATCAACAAAAGAAACAAGCAAGCAAAATATAACCAGAGACATTGAAATAAAGAACAAACCGACAGTAACCAGAGAGGAGGTGGGAGGAGATAACAGAGGGCAGAAGGGGGAGGGTTGTGAAGGAACATGTATAAAGGACCCATGAATGGGGACAATGGGGGGAAGGACAGAACATGGTGGCTGGAAAATGGAGACAACTGTACTTGAACAGCAATTAAAAAAAGTTTTTCTATGTCTCCTCATGGCTTGATTGCTCATTTCTTTTTAGTGCTGAATGTGATTCATATTACATTGTCTGGATA